GTTTGCTTTTCCCCCCCTATGACACACAAGTTGTAATTTCCCTTTCTTCGCGTCCCAAAAACCCCCCCCCCCCCCCCCCACTCAGCTCCTTCAGACTAATCAGCAGCAATTAGCAAACACCTGATAGAACATCATCTGCTGAGCCCATTATACGCACCCTTATGAAGTTGATTAAAATGTTCTAACTTCATCTTGTATTGTTGAAGCATTTCAAATTAAAAAAGTTATTTGCCACAATTGTTGGAATAACCTAATAATGCCATCAAAGTAAATGTAACTGATGACTTTTTAAAAGTTGGTCTTAGTTAAACTAAACAGAGTGCTTAGAAATGTTGGTCCACTCACCCAGGAAATTGCTCAGCGTTTTATTATAAACATTTATTGAAAATGAATTTTGCTATCAGTAGAAATGGCTCTATTCTATTTGGATCAGTGACTTTGGACTTGTACCAGGGAGCATGTTGCAGCCATTATGACGGACAAGTCATCCACAAAACTGACACAGATGCTCTGGCTGGGACAATCGGGACTGTAAGAGCCAGCAAACAAACACTGGTGTTCCACCTACCTGATCATGTGCAGCAAGGTACTATTTCAGAGAAATGGGACTCCTGACCTTTAAATGTCCTCCTGAAGTTCAAGCTAATAACTCGTCAACAACTAGTTGAAGCAGAGAAGTAAGCCTTTGAATCAACTAGGTTTTATTTGGACCTTGAGTAAAGCAGCAAAGAAGATACGCAACAGCTATTTTACTAGGTACACTTTTATAAAACCAGTTTAGATCAATCTTGAATAGGTTTTAGGAAATACTCCTTAGAGACTTTACACCATACGCACACGGTTGCATCATGCAGTTGCTGTAGATTTTGCCAGCTGTAGATCAGTGATCAGTGATGTGAATTGTGCTCTGGTGGGCTGAGGTCTGGTGACTGTGAAGCCCATTGAAGGTCCATATTCAAAAGGCCAATTCATATAATCTGAGTTTAATGGCACTGTGCGTCATCCTGCTGGAAGCAGGAATCAGAAAATGGGTACAATCTGGTCATAAAGAGACAGGCATCGTCAGTCGCAATACTTGGGTAAACTATGGTGTTTAAATGATGTTTAGCTGATGCCACTAAAGTATCAGCTAAACTAAAGACCCCACTAAATAGTGGCAATAGAAATATACCCATTATACTGACAACATTGCCACTAGCCAGAACCTGTTAGCAATCTGGATTTCTGGAAGTGTGGTGTGTAAGTGTGAGGTCTTTTCTACAGAGGACATCTGATGGAGTATGTGGCGCCTGCTGCACTTGAGCACAAACAAATGAGACTTGCTAAGGTTCCGAAGGAGCAGTCAGACAATCAATCAGTGCTCAATGGTTAAATGACAATGGTAGAGTCAAGCCACAATCCGTTCTTTTACTGAAGTTTGTTTGATTCCTCCAGTGTTTCCTGGTTACTCACCACTTTCCTCTGTTCTTCACAGGTTAAGAGTTCCTTGATTTCTTTGTCCTTCTGGATGTCCTCACCAGATCTCAGCCCCAATGGTTCACTCCTAGATTCATTCTCTTAACCCCAAACGTCACGTGAATCATCCAAAAACCTGCATTAAATTTTCCAACTTCTCCAAGATCCAACCATCCTCATGCTCTTCGCCTATCTGCTCACCAAAATGATCAAAATGAGAAAAACAACTCAGATTTGGAAACGTCATCAACACCGCTCCCTTTCCTGACCCATTATGTTCTCTCCAGATACGTCTCTTGTCTTGACGCTCTTCCCGAGTGTACATTCCTTACTGCTGTTGTAAATAAACCTTTTAACTTTTACCATGGCTCTGTGGTTGATTCTGCGTGTGGCTCAGAACACTCCGATCATTACAGAACTGTTTAAATCAGGGCCGGTGAACGTTTTCATGTTACAGCAGATATGGACTCTATCTGAAAGTCATGACAACTGAAAGCATTTTTCAAACTTGTTCAATTTTGGCGACTGTGAATTATATCAGTTTCCTTTTCTTAGCTAACAGGAGGTCTAGTGAGGTCTGCTGTTCTTTAATCCATCTGCTTCAATGTTCAACAAGTGTATTCACACATGGTACTCTCGATAACAGCTAGCTCAATAAGCTAACAATCTCTATTAGCTAGCTAGTTCGATAACTAGCTCTTTAAGTAACTGGTTCTATTAACTAGCTAGCACAATAACTTAGCTCAATAAACCAGCTAGCTTGATAAGCTAAGCTAAATGCTATTATCAATGAAAACAATTCTATATTTCTCAATACTTTTATACATTCAGAAACTGTAACAATATGTTCACTATCAGAGATTGTACAGTGAAACGATTTGTGAAAGTTTTACTAAGGTACATAACATCAAAAGTGTAAACAAACACTTTATACTTGCAAATAATTTAGTATAAAGAATAAGCAAACGTGAAACCATGAAAACACGAGCAATAAAGTGTAGTTTAGCTGATGCTTGTTAAACAAATGCCATTAAGCAGTGGATCAATATTGGAAGACAGGAAGCCTGGGTATTAAACTGATCATGACATCAAGCCAAAGACAGAAAAGGCCTCTGAAAGCTTCCCTTTGGAAGAGCTTTATCCAACTGCAGCATTTTCATTAAGCAGTGGACATAATAGATGATCAATTGATTCTCGTCCCCCCACCCACCCTCCTCTTTGCCGTTCCATCTCTCCCAGCATTTCCACTGCTGTCAAAAACCCTGCTCTGTCTCGGAGTTTTTCGACAGCGGTGGGCAATCAAAAGCAAACATTCATCTTGATTATAGTCCACTCTAAGCCCCAGGAACACGATCGTTTTTGTCTATTCATCATGTCACCGCCTCTCAGGAGAAAGCGAACACAAGGCTGCGCCTCTTATCAAACCAAACCTGTTCCTGTTGTGTTCTCAGGTTTAATACGAGAAAAGAATAAGAGCGGGTTCTCGTGGAAACAGAGGTAAAGGGGAATACGTGATGATTTGCCCTCGGGCCGTGTGCTGTTGAAAACGCAGTCGTGTTTGAATGTTCTCTGTTGTATCAAGGCACTTCTGAGCTATTATATGTTCACTGCGCTTGAATGGACCGCGGGGTCGGAGCCGCGCCTGCTTACATATATGCCGCAGAAAGCAAGAGAACCTGCAGTTCAGAGTGAAGAGAGACCGGATGCAAGTCTTTCATGATTATATAAACGGCAGACGCAATCTCACAGCCACTGGAGTGTCTAAATGTTGAAGAAATAGAAATATAAATGAGGCCTAAGCTCACCTTGCAGGGTTTCTGAAAGGATGCAACGAAGCCTGAATTTGAATTTATGAGCAAGACTCGGCAAAGGAAGGAGGCAGCAGTATTCACCGAGGCTCAAGAGGGAGGCAAACATTAGGTTTTCCTTTTTTGGCTTTTTCGCAAAGTCCCTATAACATAAGGCATCGTTTTCTGCTGGCTCAGTAAAAGTTTGCTATGTTTTAGCTCAGTGCTTTCTGCACCCAGTTTCTAATACACAATTGGATGCTCTGGTTCCGATCAAAGATCCAGGTGGTTCAGTTTCACATTTGCTTATTCTTTATATTTTGGTGGTTCTTCTCTGTTATTCTATTTATGGAATAAATGGAGGTGGTTGTTGAAATCATAAATAATTTCAACTTCATTTCAAATCAACAGCTAAGAGATTGGAAATTAGACAAAACTGGACTTTTCGACAGGAATTCAATTCCCAAAATCCATCCAAACTGGTTTTGAGCAAGAAAATAAAACTAACATTGGACTTCTCAAATTGACCCGTATGAAAACTCTATTTATGGAATAACTGTAATTGTTATTCCAGTATTCCAGCGTGATGTTGCCATCGCCATGCTTGATGGTTGACACTTGGTTTAAAAGCCATACCTCAACTCCTCCTAATATTACTTTTGTCAGCCAAAGATCTCAACAAATTTCAATCTGAAGGTTTTATGCAATTAGGTATAAATCCTAATTGCATTAAATACCCAGATGAGCAAACTGGGCACTGCGATTGTACCCAGAAGTCCAAATGTAGTTGATTCTTCAGACTTGGACTGAAAAATCAACAATGAAAGAATGCTACAGACTGAATCAGAAACAGTAAGACACTACCACTGTATTACTATCCAGTGATAAAGCCTCTTGAAGTGGGTTTCTCTTCAACCCCAACCTTAACCTGCTTTAACCTGTGGCTTAATATGGCTCCCTGAATTAAATGGTAGCTATTTGCAGTAATTAATCATTGGCTTTCCCTTCTGAATCTGTAAGTCTCAATTGGTAAAATGGGTTTATGTGACTAAACAATATCATATTGATGTGATGTTACCCTGTTAGCTCAGGGGGGAGGATTCCTATAAAGTCAGTGTTGTGATGCAATCGGCTGGGTTTCCTTAGACCAAAATCTTTTTACTAATTTAAATAATGAACTGAACCTGACTGCATTGTTTAGCAACGAACATTATGGAAGTTATGTAGTTGACTTTGAATCTCTTTGTATGACTGGATTTAATTTACTATAAATTGCTATTTACAAATGTAGATTTTTGTGTAAAGTGCCTTAAAGATCTTGAATGGGTGGGATATAAACTGGATTAAATTGCAATAGTTATACTCTAGCATGTAGACAAGCAGCAACTGACATCTGTTTTCTTCAGCTTTAAGCAGTGTTTGGTATTTTCGTGTCTAATACAAACTAAGGGCTAATTAACCGCAACGTCACACTTAGAGCATCTTTCTATCAATATTCAAATCCATATGGCGCGTTGGTTGTTCTGCATAATGCAGGGCAGCTTTGCAGCTGGTAATTCACCCATAATCTAACACTATGTGGACACTTACAGTGTTATTAATTATCCAGTTTGGCCTTAATAATATAATGATGATAAGAAATAGATGGGAGGCAATCATGGATCATATCCAAGCAAACTGGATGTGTTAGCCATTTTAGATACGGCACATTAATATGTATGAGTTTCGACTTATTATTATAACAACACATCAATAAGAAATATTTTTTCTTTGGTAAGATTGAGGTCTGAATACATTCTGATTTGTTCTAATCAGTTTGTTTTACATTTGGTGTTAGAAAAATCTGTCAAAATCTGTTTGGAAAGCGGGGTTTGGGTTAGAGGAAGCATATGTTGCTAAATATGTATTTACTTATTAATGGGCAGAAGAAATAATAGCCAGCTGGTTACATGGTTTGCAAAGTAGAAATGTTGGGTTCTGGTTAGTTCAGAAGTCTGGAAACGTCTCAACCCAAACTAAAGTTGTTGGAAAAACCTAAATTTGCTAACTCCTCTTAGCAATGAAACATGTCAAAGTATCCCGCCAAAAATGTCTGAATTAATCCTTTTTTTTAAAGATTTTGTATACCAGTGGAACCAGGATGTTCAGCACAGCTCCCAACATCAGGAATCAAACCTCAGACTGCTGCATCAACAACCTACAGCTACTGTTCATGGAGCACCACTACCACGCCATAAAACACACCATGAGCTATAGCCTTTGAAAGTTTAACAAGATACAAACTGTTAAAAGTAAGGGGGGAAAACACTGATTCTTCCACCTACTGGAGTTAGGGCCTGGTGAGGAACTTCCGCCTTGCCAAGTCATGATTTTGTAATCATGGAGTGCTATGACACTTTATCCCCACCCCCAAACTTTGAGCTTTAAGATTCAGATTTCGGACTGGAAACAGAATCCGCTAACAGCTATCAGGACAGTTTGGCAGCTAATTATTTTTGCAGGATACAATGCTAACAAGCTAGATATGGGGCAGAGTGTGGAAAATGAGGCCTTTTTTTTACTTAGGCAAGCATAAATGATGCTGGAGTAAAACAAAACCCTCTGTCTTTATTTCAGGATATTTCCTTTCAATGGAAACAGTAAGAATGTAGCCAGAAATAAGAATATGACTTTATTAAAAAAGTGGTCTTGTGGGGGGTAAATTGACTAAATTAGCTTTTACAGGTTAAACTTGAGCATTATTTTGAGTAATCCTAAAGAAAACTTTAAATTACATATATCACACACAAGGGTATTGTTCAGAATATATGAATAAAAACAATGGTATGTGGCAAACTCATGTGTTTTTCTCTACAAATAATTACTATATCCATTTTTATGTCCTCTTCTTTTTTTATTATCGATTATTTTTATGTGATTTGAAGTAAGAGTTTATAATAAAGTCTGTCTATTTAACTACATTTACATTCTCAAAGTTGCTGACATGTAGAGTTAGAATCACCTGCTAACCTGTACCCTATTAGGCTAACCGCTACTAGCAATGCTAAGAAAACAAACCCCATCTATTTCCCAGCATTTTATTACTGTAGCAACCTGTCACTACATAAAACTGTACATTACTATGATTTGTGAAAGACTTAATATATATTGACAAGTAAACGTTTCATCAACGCAGCTATCACAGTTCGTTTTTTGAAGGCTAATGAAGAAGCTAACGGCTCCCAAAATTGACTCCTGAATTCAGGGGGGGTAATTCTCCAGGCTGACAGCTAATGTTTTAGCTTGAATGATAAGACGTCTGACAACTAATTGGAAGCCTTGACAATAAGAGCAATAAAGTGCAGCTTAACTGATGATAAAAAATGCCATTAAACAGCGGGTCAATAGCGGAAGACAAGTCGTCCAAGTAATAAAGTAATCACGGCGTCAACCGGAGACGGATCCGGCCTCGGAAGGCTTCCTTCTTGGCAGAGCTTTACCCGACTGCAGCATTTCCAGTCCTGCATGGCTCGCTTAAAGACGCACATGACAAACCCTCCAGGGAGGAAAAGTTTGTTTGTCGACACCTGCAGAGCTTCTCGAGATGATTCCGCGTGTTGTTACTGATTGCCTCAATCAGACAGGCTGTAGGAGGAGGAATACAGATATAAATATAGGCTGTTGATGTGTGTGTGCATGTGTGTGTGCGTGCACATGTCTGTGTCAAGCCAGCAGCAATTTCATCATGCATTAAATGTGATGGATGAGCCACAGAGTGCTGCACACCTCTGAGCTGATGGTGTAAAAAAAGCATAAAAATTACAGTAAACACTTGTTTGAAGACTCTGCAGGACTGATGCGTTGTGACGGGGGAATAATAATGAAATGCAGCTGTTGTTCTCTTCCCACTGACCTGAATTGATACATTACAAAGCGAGACGTTCAGTCAGTCAGTCAATCCTCAAGCGCGGCGGCTCTTTCTGCTCCCGACTCGTGACGTCTAATCCCATTTGTCAGCAGCGACGGCTGATTTAAGATTTTTAGGGTCATGGCGTCGTGCCGCACGTTTGAAACGCTTCGACAAGGCACCCGCCGCTGCCGCTTCTCCGCGTGAATAAGCGCCGTGTTTCAGTTTAGTGATTGATTTGCTTTAGACTGTCACTGCGACTAACTGTAATAAGACATCACAACTACTCTGAAACGCAGTCGGCTCTTTTTTTTTTTTGGCGAGGCCTCCGACGTTAAAGGCGATGGGGTTTGCGCGTTCCCACTTGACAACACAATATAGGTGCAGACAAGACAATAAACATGATCAGTTTGCTTTTATGTGTGAGTGTTTGATGCAGCCTCCCTCTGTTAGCCTGACTCTCGCTGGCTTGCTTTGATAGTTGGTTAATAAGGTGATACACGTTCGTTTTGTGTTAAGTGGATGCCGCTTCGTCGGTTTCGCCGAGCGGGTTTCGGCGTCGCCTCCCACGAGTTGTGTGGGTCAGCAGTGTCCTTCTGGCTAATGACTATTATGTCTGCTAGCATCTTGCTCTTTGTTCCTGCACTACTTCTTATTGATATTAAGACCTTTAAAGCAGGATTTCATCTCTCCTGTGATAAGAAACTGTTACTCTTTGTGAAACGTGACATCGCCCCACTGTTTTCCCTTCACTCCTATCGTTCGCGCTGCCCATGGGGGAAAAAAAATTGAACCCTATTTTTTTTCTGGGGAGTGGAGAGTCGCTTCTCCCCCTCACTTCCCTCGTTGAATGTGTTTTCCCTGGCAGAGAGTGGCGCACAGATAGCATACACAGATGAGGACGGATGATAGCAGAGCGGGCCTTGCCATGACCTTCCTGAGCATTCAGCTCGTTTGACTTTGATGTGTAAAGTAGAGCGCTGAACGAACGGAGGAGCGGCTTCGCTTTAATTTTGGTCTGAATTACGAACTCAGATGAGAGCAGCATTAAGTGAAAAATGGCGAGGATGGTGAGACGTCTGCCTGATGCTCCCGTGACACAACAGTGCCCCCTGTTGGTTTGTGTGTGCAGGCAGAAGAGAGGCCCGGCTTTAACTGCTTCAGTATGAGCAGAAAACATTTACTCCTGGTCAAAATGGGTAAAAAGCCTCAAAATAAATTCTTACTTTGATGTATCTCGCTCTGAAACAGTTATGGAAAAAGAAATCTAACTTTTACTTTGAGTACACCTATTGAGTGAGGGACAAATTGCACAGCAAAAAACATCTATTTTCAGAAAGCACTTAGGGTCATCATTACTGGGCGTTATTGATCTGAAGATATAGGAACGTCACATTTGCTATGTTACATTGGACTTCCTGTTTCCCAGGATACACAGTACAGTATACACTTCTTTGTAAAATTACACACACAATATTAGGGCTCAAACGATTAATCAGATCAAAGGTGATGAACTGATTACTGAAAGAATTGTCAACTTATTTAGCAATCAATTAATCGTTACTTTAAGACTAAAAATATTTCCTGAAAAAATAACACACTCAGAGCAGTAAGAATAGCCACGTGTTAAAATGGCTCACTCAAAGTCCAGATGTAAATCCAATGAGCAAATTTGTAAGTTGATCTTCGCAGACCCTCTACCTCCAAATCTAACCAAGTTGGCAAACATTTTTGTATCTAGATGTGGAAAACTTGCAGAAACAGTGGCTTGCAAAAGTATTCACACCCCATATGTTGTCACTTTACCACCACAAACATGAATGTATTTCATTGAATTTAACGTGAAAGACCAACAGAGTGGTATTCACTTGTTAAGTGGAAAGAAAACGATTTCTTGTTAGAAATGATTCAAAACATTTCTAACATTTGTTGTGTGTAAAAAGAAAGTATTCAGACCCTTTTTCTGCCTTCAGCCTGGTGACTGCACTGTATTTGTGCTCTGCGTAAACATGGTCTCTATGGAAGAGTGGCAAGAAGAAAGCCATTGTTAAAAGGAAACTATAATTTTCTTTCCACTTCACAACTGTAGACTGCTTTGTGTTTGTGGTGGTCTTTTACATTCAATTCCAATAAAATATATTCATGTTTGCGGTTTTAACATGGAAAATCTGGTATGAACGCTGGTTCAGGTCAGTGTAAATAACCTGGGTAACTTGCAGTTGTGAGCCCAGTTTATGGTGGTTCTGAAAAGTATAAACATACAGGGTTCAAATCCACACTTTTCAGGTAATATTTGTAAAATAATTAGAAAAACTATCTAGTATTCTCCTTAATCATAACAAAAATGCACTATTCTGTTTTGGTCTATCACAATATAGCACAACGACAGTTTTGGTTGCAGCATGACAAAATGGAGGAAGAGTTCATGGGAATACGTACATACATACACTTTTGCGCTTGCTGCTTTCTTCTTTATGGATGCCAAAAGCACAAATATCTCTCCTCTGGCTCTCCACAGGCTGATCCTCTTTGCTTTCATCTCTGGTCTGAAAATGACACGTAATTATCGATTAGAACGGCTCACCCTCTATTCAACCTCCTGCTCTGTTGTTTTTCTTCAGAGAAGAATGCACCGGCATACTGCCCTCTGCAGCATTTCATCATGTAGCATGAAAAGAAACAAACAAACTCACCAAAAAAAAAAAAAGAAAAAAAAAAGGTTTCACAGGAAACAATGTCGTCTCTTGATGCTTCAGTTAATTTAGAAAGTCATTTAAGAAGATTATCAGCAATGGCTTTGAAATCTCCACATTTATTCGGTGGATGTTCATTTCATGATAATTCCTAACGACCTGAAGTCACACAGCAGATGTTAAGTTATAATGTTGTGTGCTATTTTGCCCGTTTCTATGGAAACCAAAATGCCATGTCATTTTTTTCCCATTTAAATAAGCCGTCTTGTGAAAAGGTATTTGCAGATTTCCTCCATTTTTGATTCTTTGCCAAACCTAAAAATGTCATAGCAAACAAATGTCTTTTTTTTCCTTTTTTTTTTTGTCAGTCAGATATGAAGTGCCAAATGCAATTTCTAAAGAGTGATTTAATTATTATTATTGGGAGGGCAAGGATAGGGGAAATTTTACTTTATTTTATTGCTTTTATTGTTTAAGGATTATTTACAAACCAAAGAGACGCTGTTGCCCTTATTCTTAATTAATAAAAACTGTCTAGTGCTGTAAAGCTCCAAAATTCAAAAACCTCCACTCTAAAAATTCTCTGTTATATAGATAAATTAAGCAACAAAAAATGTCTAAATTGAAGTACTGGAATATAGAAAAATGTAAACTTTCAAGACAAAAAAAACTTTTTTAAATTGAAAATCCCAAACATATGGAAAAGGAAGAAATAACATGCAGTTTGGAGCTTAACAACAAAATAAAAGAACAGAAAAGAATTATAATTTGATGTTTCAACGAGCTTTTTTTTTTTTTTTTACCTTTTTATTTAAAAACACATTTCAGGTTTTTACTCATTTTCAAAAATGTTTCAATGTTTTTTGAGGAGAACATCATTTGTTGCTTTTTGAGAAGAGGTGTGCGATACTACATATTTTGGTATCAGTACATAAAAGGGCCAAATTGGCAATACCGATACCGATACTGATACTTTTTAATCATTTGTTATATCATCAAACTTCTATTACATTTTTTGTGCTTTTTCTTTTTGAATTATTTTTGTTAAAACCTAAGAGATAATTTGTCTATGAAATACTTTAATAACACATTAAGCAGAAGGAAATGAAAACAAAAAGTTATGTGCATTTTTTTTTTCAAAATAAACAATTTATAAAAAAGTATAATTTTAAAGAAAACAATTAGGGCAATTACTTTTTCTCATGGAAGCAGGTTTGTTTGGATAGCCTTCTTCTTTTAATCAATTAAATTACTTGATGATAATCCGAAACATATAAAAAAGATTGTGAGAAAAAAGCAAAATACAAAGAAATCTGGAAAAATTTTCACCGCCCCGGACTCTGTCTCTGCTTAGAGACACAGTAAGGAATTGAAAGCTAACCAGAAAGGTCTGAGAGGAGAAATTAAGAGCTGTTTATTCTCAGCCATTGCAACACCTTAGCTCTTAGGTGTTCAAAATGCTGCTAGGTGTCTCCTTGCCTATAACTCATTCACACTGTGTTGCTCCAGCAAATCTCATTTAAGCGCTCTTTGTCCCCTGAAGACGATTGTGAAATACCAAGTAACAGACAAAGAACAAAAAACTCCAAATGTCAGCAAAGTTTTAGAATGAATCTATTATTAAAAGTATGAGGAGTAATGGATCTTCTTAGGTATAAATAGAAATACGTGACAGTGCCATCCCGCTCTGGAAACGGCTGCCTTTTTTCTAAGAATCGTTGTCCAAACAAGCAGAACGCAGTTCCTCCATTATTCAGCCGCCTGATCATTCCTGCTAACAGCTGATTAAATCGTCACCGTTCACCGTTTCATCTACTGTGAGATCGCATAATGACTGAATCTAAGCAGAACGGTTTGTGGGGTTGGCAGAAGTGTAAAGAGCAGCTATTTAGTCGGCGGGGGTTGAGTGGAGGAAATTTAGCGGGAGAGTTTATTGATGTATCAGTAAATTCAGCCAAAGCTCTGCTCCATGAAACAGCTTAGAGAAAATCGTTGAATCCTCCATGTCAAACTGTTAGACAACAGGCTCAGGTTAGCATTTTCAAGCCTGACATGGAAAATCCTCAGTAGCGATCCCAGTGAAGCTCATCTTTAGCCTTGAATAATTGATAGTTAACCAAACTTTTCCACTTAGCTATTATTATCTGTTCAGAATTATACGATGGATTCAGAAACTTTGAGTATCTAAGATTTGCTGTCATGGTTTTATTTAATGGGTTTCAGACCTTGTTTTCATCTGACACTAGCTTCTGCTAGCAGAGTTAGCACTAGGTTTTTAACAACAGTCTCAAATGAATTTAAGTCTGGACTATGACTAGAGTTAGGGTTAACACAATCCGCTGTAGCTCTAGGTGCATGTCTAGGATTAGGGTTGTTGTCCTGTTGGAAGGTAGACTCCGTCTCAACTCTCTTTTAGAATATTGTCCAGTAAATAAGAAGAAAATAAGTTATTTTCCTGTGAACTCTGATCTGCTACTTCACAGATTTCCCCACCTGAGCTGTGAATCTTTGCAGCTTTCCAGAATCATGCTCATTTCTTGGTAGATTCTGGATGTTTCAGAATCTACCAGTTTAAGTTTATCAAGTTTATCAATCACACAAAATCCCATTAAAACCCCTTGAAGGGCCTGGTTATGATGTTACTAAATGTGACCTTAAGGAGTATGACTACATTCACAAGGGGCTTTATTTAAAATAACATGTTACGCCTGATGACGGCTATATCTAAATGTCCCATATTCTCATAACAATAGTATGAACTCATGTAATCATTGCGTAACATGTAACAATCAGGTGTATTGTTCCGCATCAGCTCCTGCTAACCTGCCGTCGCCGTGACTATCTCTGTGTTTCTGTGTGGCTGCGCATAAAGCTCAGTCTGAATGTAAACCAGTGTTGAAAGAAACACTCCATCAGCATCACTTTGTTTTATAGAGCCGCTCTTGATTAAACACATGCAGATGTAGATTATGAGAGTCCGCTCAGTCACGACTGAATAAATACAGAGACTCAGACGCACAAAGGGACGGAAATGCAGGTCTGCTCTGATGTTTAGGAGAGCAACTATGGCATAGCAGCCATTTGTTGACCAACTATGCGACCTATAAA